GTAACAGCTTTTGTAAACAATGACTGCTATTGATGATTTCTAGAAGGTCAAGGCTCGCTAACGCAAATCAACATCACCATCGGGTAGGGGAAGACTTCAACTTTCCGTTGGAGTACGTTGGCGTGCCTTGAATTCATAGAAGTCATCGAGAGAAGTCAAGAGCAAATTTTCATTATGTCGTAAGTAACATTCGCACCAATCCGAGAAAAATAAAGTTTTGTTTTGATGACCGAAAAGTTATTCCTATTTCCAAGTAAACACATATAATCTCATAGTGATAGCAATGTTTAACATATTTAGCAGGGTTTTAATCATACAAATGCAAATCGCTAGCTTTCATGCTAAAAAATACTGGTTTTTGAGTCAAAAGTTATTATACGTCGTTTGGTGGCCCCTATTGTTACTTAAGTCAAAGTGTATTTACCAGGATATTCGGGAGAATTATCATTTACGTCTCCTTACGTGCAGCCCATTCATCATTTTAGGACCACCGAAATCATCTTAGCAACAAACAGTTCGATTTCTTCACTTTAATAATGAGAAAGCGAAACGACGAACGTACACTTTTCACGGGTTTCTCAGTGCTGTTACTTAAGTCAAACGGCATCTCCATAGAAATTGGGTGACTTAAGTAACATCGAAAACTATTTTGATCGGAAGGTGATTACGTCAAAAAGCAATTTGACTGGTAAATAAATTTAAAAATGGGATTTGATCCTATATTCGGACAGTATATAGTGTAATAGCAGGAGAATCGATTGACACTGATAGCTCGACTTTGTTTACCTTTGTTACATTCGACGTAATGAAAATTTGCTCTTGAAGTCTTTCTTTACAAAAGCTTTTACACCCTTATTCCAGCTCGAACTAGATATGTTCTATTAAATTTTGATGAATTTTCACTTGAATTTGACAGATGGAAAATTTTCAAATAAACCTGATTTCCCGCCAGACTTCATTGTTGCGGGATTGTTGTCCGGCATTCTTAGAACGTGTCCATCCCATCGTACCCGTCCAGCTTTCACGACTTTCTGGATACTGGGTTCGCCATAGAGTTGCACCAGCTCGTGGTTCATCTTTCTCCTCCATACACCGTTCTCACATACCCCGTCAAAGATGGTCCTAAGCTCTGGTTGTTCGTTGAAGTTTTGAAAATTTCTTTGAACATTTTTCTGAAGATCTACGTCAAGGCTCGCACATATCGATTGGGACGAGGTGCTTCAAAATTGTGATGCCAACCTCGCTGCGTCGACCATATCTGATATCCTGTGGTATGCCATCGATCAGTTTGTTCCCGTCTAGACACGAACCGGCTAAGCCAGCCTGGTCAAATGCTGACCTCAAGCATCTTAGGACTGTGAAGCGGGCAGCTCTCAGACGACATAGCAAGTATCGCACGGACTCCACGAGAATGAGATATATGGCAGTGAGCACTGAATACAACCAACTTAATAATCGTTTGTACAACGCATATCAGGACCATTTGCAAAGGCGCTTCAAGACAAATCCGAGAAGTTTTTGACGTTACGTCCATGACCAACGGATAGAATCCGGACTGCCCTCTACGATGACCAACGAAGCTGAAGCTGATTCCACCACTGACATCGCCGACCTGTTCCGTTCTCAATTCAGCAATGTTTTCACTAATGAACACATCGACCCGCAGGATGTAGCCGTCGCCACTAGAAATGTTCCTCAACTTTCGGCCTCTGGGCTACAGTTCGTGATCACGAACGATATGGTTATATCAGCCGGAAAGGATTTAAAATCCTCCACGGGATGTGGTCCAGATGGGATTCCATCGCTTGTCCTCAAATGCTGCGCGGATACACTTTCAACACCACTAGCAAGAGTATTCAACCTATCTTTGACTACTGGTGTATTCGCAAACTGCTGGAAGCAGTCGTATGTTTTCACAGTTTTCAAGAAAGGCTGCAAGCGGATTGTTTCGAACTATCGGGGCATAGCTGCGTTGAGCGCCACTTCTAAGCTGTTTGAGGTGATCGTTCTGCATAAGCTGGTTCAGAAGTACGCACACTACATTTCGATTGATCAGCACGGATTTATGCCTAACCGTTCGACGACAACTAATTTGACTTGTTTCACTTCGTTCGTGATCCGCCAAATAGAAAATGGTCAACAAGTAGACGCTATTTACACAGACTTATCCGCGGCGTTTGATAAAATGAATCATCAAATCGCAGTTGCTAAATTCGACAAGCTGGGAATGAACAGTAACTTGCTTTCCTGGCTTCGATCCTACCTAACCGGTCGAAGTATGTCCATCAAAATTGGAGAGCACGTTTCGCCCTCCTTTCCGGTTTGGTCCGATGTTCCCCAAGGAAGTCACTAGGGGACCGTTTCTATTCTTGCTGTATATGAACGATGTCAATTTCATCTTGAAATGCCTAAAACTCTCGTATGCCGATGACCTGACGCTTTACTACACGATTAAGCAACCACAAGACGCGTTTTTTCTGCAACAACAACTGGAAGCCTTCGCTGAATGGTGTCATATTAATCGAATGTCGCTGAACGTGCCAAATGTTCGGTTATTTCATTTTGCCGCAAGCAATCACTCTTCCATTTTAGCTATGCTTTGGGAGGCGTGAATCTACAACGTGATTCGACAGTCAAGGACCTGGGGATTCTGGTTGATACAAAATTAACCTTCAAGGATCACGTCGCGTACGTTGTGTCTAAAGCCTCATCGCAACTAGGATTTTTATTTCGCTTTGCAAAAAAGTTCAAGGACGTTTACTGCGTAAAAGCTTTATACTGCTCAATTGTGCGCCCTATCTTGGAGTATTCGTCTATCGTCTGGTCTCCTTATTACCAGAATGAAACTCAACGCATCGAAGCTGTTCAGCGAAAATTCGTCCGGTTCGCTCTACGTCATCTTAGGTGGAGAGATCCATTCAACCTGCCCAGTTATGAAAGCCGTTGTCTACTTATAAATCTGGAATTACTAGAAGCACTAGACAGTCCTACGCTTCTTAGTTTCTTGGACATCAACACACGTCGTCGCAATCTTCGGTCGCACTCGTTTATCACCATCCCTCCGGCAAGAACTAATTATGGCTTTCACGAACCTTTGCGAAGCATGTCCCGTGTATTTAACCGGTGTTATTATGTGTACGATTTCAACGTGTCACGAGAAACAAACAAGCGTAGTTTTAAACAAGTTTTATGTTAATTTATGTTATTCGTTAGTTTTGTATTTAGCTGTAGAACAGGTGTCATTGTGGTAAACATTTTACCTGTTGACTGATAAACAATAAATCTCGCTTGTAAATTTTTCTGAATTTCTGCAAATTTTTGTAAAATTTTCGGAGCTTTTGTAGTTCTGTTCTCAAGATCTACGAACTACCATGAAGTTCAACAAATTTCTCAGTAGATCTCCAAATCTCTCTGAAGTTCTAAAAAATCTTAGTAGGCTCTCAGACCTGATGTCTATTAAGTTCTGATGACCTGATGATTTCTAGGAATTCAAGGCACGTCCACGCAGACCAACCTAACCATCAGATAGGGGAAGTCTTTCCCTACCCGATGAGGATGTTGGTTTGCGTGGGTGAGTCTTGTTTTCTAGAAATCTCAAGAGAAGTCATTGTTTACAAAAGCTGTTAGGCCCTAATTCCAGCTCTATCTAGATATAATACATACTTCGTATTATATAAACACTGTTATGTTGACGGCCAAACATACTGGAAAATTATGCACATTGAATAGTGAAATCGGTTTACCTGGCTCCTGGATGTCATCAAAACACAAATCAAATCAATAAAATTTTAAAAGAAAAAAAAAAATCAATATTTTCATTTCACTTGCGGCTATTTTGCTGAATGAGGCGAATGAAAATTAAGCACGAACCAAACAAATTACGTTTGACAAATCAAACGTCAAATCTAATCGTCATTTTGAACAAGTGTGAACGCGTTCGAACATTGCATCTGACAAAATTATCGAGCAGTCCGCTCGAATCAGACCAACCGAATCAGATTGTCTAAACGTACCTTAGGCCGTTCGCAATGCTGAGTTTCAAAATTGTTTTAAACGACTTGACAATTCTATAATTTGAATCTGTCAAAAATAAAACTGCAACACGATCAGCGCAACGCACAGTTCTAAAAGATGTTTGTAATCATCAAGCTCCATAAACTTTACTGTTCTCTATGAAGTTCATAGAGTTTTTTGTGAAGCTCTTCGAAACATCTTTAAATACATCCAAAGAAATTTGAAACAGAGTTCCATTCGTGTATCAAACTCGCTCAGAAATAAAACAGAATAGTCGAGCAGTTGTAAATCTGGTGCAAAATAGTGCTCGAATAATGAAGCTGCAACTCAGCATTGCGAGAGGTGCGTTTCTGTTCTAGTTTCAAATTAACCACTTCATTCGAGCAGTTAAAATGACGTTTACTACCACTCGAACTTGGAAATAAAACATTATTTAGAGATTTTTTCTTCTAGAAAAGTAGCCAACATTTGAGCGTTGCATAAAAAAATAGAAACTAGTTGGTCCAGTTTTGTGAAATCGCTGGTAGAAAGTCACGCCAATACTGCTTGACAAAGTGGTCAATTGAAACAGTCCTTATAAAATACAACAGCATTGCGAACGGCCTTAATCGTGAGATTGGAGATCTCTACACGCTATTTCAAAACCACCCAAATTTGGGTAGAATCCACCCAGATCGGTCAAAACTGAACCTACCCACAAATGGGTAAACTGTGTTGGGAGTGACAAGTTGACAAATGAAACAACGTCGATCTGATTCATGTCGATGTTGTCCATTTGTCAACTTGTCAATCCGAACACAGTTTACCCATTTTTGGGTAGGTTCAGTTTTGACCGACCAGGGTGGATTCTACCCAAATTTGGGTAGTTTTGAAATAGCGTGTATAGCGAAACCCGTGATGCCAGCGAGAAAGTCGCACGCAGCTAAAACTTTTCTTAAATCAATAAGCCATAGCCAAAAAAAAAAAATCATAACAAAGAAACTCACCTGTTGGTTCCTGCTTGATGGCCAACTTGCCGACCAGCAGCTCCTTCGTCCTTTCGTCCTGCTGTTGCTGCTGCTGTTCGATTCCGGCCGGCGACAGCAGTGCCGTGGTGGCCGTCGTTGTCGCCGTGGAGGACGACGACGACAGGGCCGGTGAGGAGACGGAATTGCCTATCCGGCCGGGTTCTTCCTCTTCTTGCCGCTGTTGTTGCTCTCGGTCCAGATCCAGCTCGGCAGCAGCAGCCGAGTCCGTCGTCCGGTCTACTACCACCGCTTTTGCGTCACCCGTCACCAGCTGATGGTGGAGGTGACTATGCTGATGCTGTTGCTGGTGGTGGTGGTTATTGAGAAGTGTTGTTACTGGCGTTGCCGTCGTCGTCGCCGCCGCCACCGTCGCTGGATGAGGAGGAGGAGGTGGAGAGCTGGTGGGAGTTGCCGTCGCCGTCGTCGTCGTCGTCGTCGGTCTTGTATCGTTCTCATTGAAATGATTCTGATGCTTACCGGCGGCAGCAGCAGCAACGTCCGGATGTTGTTCTGCTGCTTGTTTTTCTGCCGTTACTACTTGTTGATTGTTGGGGGTTGCTAGTTTGGATTCTACTAAAGCTAGTTCGCCGTCTTGCTGGTAGTGACCGTTGCGTACTGTTGCGAGGAGGGGAGGGGGAGGAAAAAGTTTTTTTTTTTTAAACCGGCCGTGGTCAAATGCGAAGGAAACTTACCAATCGTGGCGGCGCCTTTCTGGTCGAGAAGGTTTCCGCCGACGACCGCCGCCGCCACCAGTGAGGGGACCGCGTTGCTGGCAACACTGCTGGCCACGGCCGCTGCCGCACTGTGGAGCAGATCTGCTGCGTCGTCGTCCACGGCTGCGTTCGTGCTCGGGTCCAGCAGGTTCAACTGTTGGCGCGTGAGGACGTCCTGATAATGTTTCCATTTCCTGCGTCCCATCAATTCTTCAGCAACGCGCTCCAGTCCTGTAAAACCGGAAACGGACGAAGGGAGAGAGAAAAATCGATTAGTTCCAAACAACATGCTCAAAATCGAAGAAATTTTACTTAAGACTGCATTCGGTTGCAGAAGACCGAAGTCTTCTTGGTTAGGGAAGAAACGAAAATATTGCCAATCGAAGCTGATGCTTTCCCTTAATGAACCTCAGAACTCGAGGACCGGGGAGATGGTAGGGGGAGTTTGCGGGCCGGGATGAAATTTTAGAAACTTCCCATTCGGGAGCAGGTCAATCCGAGAGGCTACTATATAAATGTGAGATGTGCATAAGCTGGTATTTGAACGCATTTTAATAGAGTGTATAGATTTTGTTATGTCCGAATCCCCCCTTCTCTTGATCACCCCTTTATGAACCACTTGGTGTTGTCTTGCTTCTTGTAGGCCTTTTGGTCTTTTCGAAACCACCACCATCATCAGAAGAAGAAGACGAGCTGTTGTGTGAGCTGTGGATCACAAGAAAGTTACCTAATCATACATATATAAAGAAGAAAGTGGGCTGCCGATGCTGGAGTCGTTTTTCGGACTTGGGAAGGAGAGTCTCTTAACCCTTTCGGTGCCGGATTTTAATGGAATGGCTCCATTTCGATATTCATGAATTCTTCTTATTCCTACTGGGAGGTGACTTGAGTTTTGCTTGTGCTTTTTGCCGTGAACGAAACTACCTTTATTTTTTTTCCAAACGTTTATGTTCCTCTGTATGGACTACAATTCCAAATTTGTAGAAATAATACGCGTCATTACGATGCTTGCAAACAGGTGGCCCATTTTCACCACCTCAAGCACCTCAAACTGCTAACGATGCCACCGTTCTGTTTTTCATTTCGTTGACGCTTTTTAATTGTTGCTTGGGTTAGGAAATCATCGTCTTACACAAGAAGCATTTATTTTTAATTCCGTCATAACATGTATTCACTTTTCGATTGAGGAAATTAAACGAGGAGGGAATCTCCTACGCACAAATCTTTCTCGAGGTGGTGAATGCAAAAGGATCTGTTGAAGATGTGTCAATCGTACGAGGGAGACGAAAGTCCCAGATTTATTGAAATTTTATCCAAAAATACCCTTTAGTTTGATGAACTGATTTAATTGGATGCAAATTTCTTAGAGCAAGCGAATGAATATTCCCATCCGGCTACCAGCTCCGGGGGGGACATGTACTTGAGGATGAATCCTGTCAGGGTCTCGATTACTAGAACAGGAAAATACAAACGTACAAACTATTCCATCAAACCCCCACAGACGCCCTCCTAGCCCCATTTATTTTGTATCAAAACTGCAACGTTATTGCGTGATGTTTGTTTTGCTAGCAGGTTCTCCGATGTATTTTAAGGCAAAGATCACCGGCTGATAAAACTAACGTTCCTATACACCAAAACATTGATTACCCGGGCTGCGCTGTCAAAACAATCGAGATAATAAAATCGTTCATCAGAGAGCAAAAGAATTCCTCATAGTTACTATGGATTGATCTTAATTTCTCACTGTCTTCCCGCATAAACGCGAACCATAAATTGACCTTACCTAAAATGGTTAAAAATGGTTTATAATCCCTGCTAAACTTTAACTGAAATGGTTATGGAACTTTACATGAACGTTTAATGATAAAGTTTCAACCTTATGTATTATGGTTTTTTTAAACTGGACCTTACAAATAATGGGTTGTTAAGAACCATTACCGTTCCAAATTCTTGTTTTCTCCATACAATTTCGGAAAGAGAACTATATTAGAACCTTTTAACTTATGGTTTGAGAACTTTAATGGTAATGGTTATGGTAGTCAGTAAGGTCCACGAATGGTTTTGTAACATCGATCAACTTTATGTGGAATATATCGCGAATTGGTTGCTTGTAATTTACTGATTACCAATTCACGATATATTCCACGTAAAGTTGAGCGATAATACAAAACCATTGATGGACCTTACTGACTACCATAACCATTACCATTAATGTTCTCAAATCATAAGTAAAAACGTTCTTATATAGTTCTCTTTCTGAAAATGTATGGAGAAAATAAGAATTTGGAATGGTAATGGTTCTTAACAACCCATTATTTGTAAGGTCCAGTTCCAAAAAACCATAATACATAAGGTTGAAACTTTATCATTAAACGTTCATGTAAAGTTCCATAACCATTTCAGTTAAAGTTTAGCAGGGATTATAAACCATTTTTAACCATTTTAGGTAAGGTCAATTTATGGTTCGCGTTTATGCGGGTTCCCCCTCGCTAAAGTCCTCTAGTTAAAGTATGGACGAATGTCATCACAAAACTGAAAAAAGCTGTTTCAATCGAGCAAAGCGGTGCATTTTGACGGTTCGATTGGAACAACTTTTGACCAAGGGGGGGAGGTGGCTGTCAAATACGAACAATCGTCGCCTACCTCGCATAACTGGTTCCAAACGTAAACAAGCCATAAGAAACCTACAGTGTTTGTTTACGTTTGGAACCAGTTTCATACAAGATGATCAGTAGGCTGATTTGACAGCACATCCCCCCCCAGCTTTTGACAGATGACCATACTTTTACTGTAGGGTTTTAAACAATACGGGGGCGAAAACGAACCACTTTCTGTCAAACGCGAACCAGCTCGTGATTGGCCGATTTGAAGTGCGTAAGATAGAGATAGAGACTCTTCCTCTTCGATTACAACTAACAATTCTATGTCGTTTTCGTTTTTACTACACTACACCGGTGTAGTGTAAGCAGCAATAAGCGCGAGTCATTGACAGTTTATCATCATTTGTTTGTAAACAAAGGTGCAACCGATAGACCCTAAAAATTTTCGGTGTTCGGCGGTGTAGCACCGGTGTAGCACCGGTGTAGCTACACCGCAAAAACGAAAACGACACTAGATAGAGCTGGAATTAGGGCGTAACAGCTTCTGTAAACAATGACTTCTATCGATGATATCTAGATATCCATGCAGACCAACACAACCATCGGATAGGGAAAGTCTTTCCCTACCCGATGAGGAGGTTGGTTTGCGTGGTCGAGCCTTGAGTTTCTAGAAATCATCGATTGAAGTCATTGTTTACAACAGCTCTATCTAGAATTATCTGCTGCTTTTTCATAAGGGCCAATGTCGCAAATGTCATTGTTTACGACTTCTTCCGCGAATTTCTCAAAGATGAAAACTCGCTCAGGTAAAATATTACAATGATTGTATAGAGGGAGAGTCCCCCTATCCGATAGAATCAGTGGCTTGCATGGATAGACTTTGAATTAGGGAAATTTAAGAAAGAAGCCATTGTTTACGTTTACAGCGATGTTGAGGTGGATTTCGTCAGAGAGGAATGTGGGTGCTTCGAGTTCACGAATCGCAACCTGGACAACGGGTTCTGTCCAAATAGGCGCAACCGAAGTCTGACCGAGCAGCACCAGGTTTGCATGGATACTTGCATGGCTGAGAATCATGAAATAATTGTGCATCCTCGGGGAGGGAGGCTGAGGGGGTTGTAAGACCCTCGGTAAGACCAAACGAGTTTTGGTTGACGGCTGGATTTCGGGAGTACTCGGTCAGGGGTTGTCTCGATTTTGCGGGCTTCTACTTCTGCTGCTGATGGGTTACGAACCGGGGAGTGTTTAGGGGATTTGCGAGGCGTTGTCGCTGATATTTAGATAGATTAGCGCGATCGGAATCTATGGGTCAGAGAATGGGACGGCGGTTATGGACCAGAGACAGAAGATGGAGGGGATGAGTATACCCTTTGGAGTGCAGATTGGCTAACTTGACCCCGGGGTGGATGCTAGTCCTGTCCTCGATGAGTTATTTCAGACGTTGGAATTCAATTTAGAGAACTGAGAAGCGCATCGGCTGGATTCTTTTCCGGTCATGTTTCCAGTATCCGACCGTCTGGCACTGTTTGGAGTCCAAGACTGCATCAACTAAACGGAACTGCTTTGCTGAACGGAAGATTGGCAGGTTAGGGTGGTTTTTGTTGTTACTCCGCGGAAGAGTGTAGTGGCCTTAAAAAAAATTTGCCGCTCGATTTGCGGTTTTTTCGAGATTGACCGAATGCGAAAACCGCGCATCATGAAAGTGACAGTAAAAATAAACACACTAAAACATATTTGAGTAAACAGATAGGGGAAATGACGGCTTCGGCATGACAGACTATTTTCGGCAACCCAAATTGAAACACTATTTTCACTGGATTTTCTTACGAAAACACTTCGCTGAATGCATGCAAACGATTCTTTATGCTTTCAGCTTCAATTTGACTATATTTTTACCACTGAGAAAAAGCAATCTAGCAGGGTTTTCTTGAAATGAAACACACGCACTACAAATTGTAGCTGATTTCGAGTTGCCGATAATAGAACAGCAGATTTACATGCAGTTCAAATGGAACGGTTGCCGAAGAAAAACTGGTTGCCGACAATACTCGCTCTCACTAGAGAAGATTGGAGCTTTGTAAAAGCGTTTCAAAACAGTTTTTGACAATTCTTTCGACTGAAATTGTTAGAGCAGCTGGCAGCAAAAGATTGTAAACAAACCAATACTGCATATGTGTGCGTTCCTTAGAGAAAAAGGCTATAGAAAGAAGGTCGCTGCTTAGGTTGCCGAGAATACGTAAATTCCCCTAGATAATTCGAACTCATCCAAGATTATCGAAGAATAGTGAATGAAATCGGATGATATCGGCAGGCGCGTGTTATTATTCATTATAAATCAAGTTTATCCAAAAAAAATCTGAATTATTTAGCAAATTTTAGGTAAATCTGTTAAATGAAATGTGAAAAGGATTACTTTCGTCCCCCTCGCAATCGTAGCAACCGGTGAAAACTAACGATTTTAAATTGACTCACTGCTTGACTAGCCTATTGGTCCCAAGCAAATCGATTAACGTACGCCATTCTAGTCGAAATTCTAGTACTACACTATGTTTGTTTTGATTCGCTATGAAAGTTTGACAGATAAAATGAGGGGTTTGTGGATTTTTCTATGTTTCGAGGAGTCCATCGATT